GGCGTGTGGGTGGCACTCCAGGGCAGCGCCCAGGTCCGGCTGTACCACAGCACCAGCTACGAGCAGCTGGCAGAGGCCGACATCACCCCCCCTGTGCACAAGATGCTCGCAGGTGAGTCCCACTGGTGGACCAGTAACCCAGGGCGTGGGATCGTGGAATTCCAGAGCGGTTTGTGTTGGAAGGGACCGTGAAGGTCATCCAGTTCCACCCCGTTGCCATGGATAGGGACACCTTCCATCAGAAGCCCCACTGGCGAATGGATAATCCCATGTTGAAACAGGGCGGTAATCCCACAGTCATGGAATCACGGAATTTCGGAGTGGTTTGGGTTGGAAGGGACCATGAAGCTCGTCCAGTTCCACTCCCTGCTGTGGGCAGGGACACTTTCCATTACCCCAGGTTGCTCCAAGCACCATCCAATCTTGGATACTTCCAGAAATGGGAGCCAGAGAAGCAGCCACAGCTTCTCTGGGCAACCAGTGCCAGGGCCTCCCCACCCTCACAGCTGAGAATTCCTTCCCAGAATCCCATCTAACCCTGCCCTCTGCCAGTGGGAAGCCATTCCCCCTTGTCCTATCAGGCCAATCTGACAGCACCCCAGGGTGCTTTACACCAGCCAGGGGAGTTGTGGGGTCCCTCCCCACATCCTGTGTGCCACAGATCCCCCTGGGAATGGCGGTCGTGAGCTTCACACCCCGTGCCGGGCGGGATGAGATACTGATTTCTGGGATGCTCCCCAGGCTCGGACGCCATTATCCGGCAGCACAAGGCCGCCTGCCTGCGGATCACGGCGCTCCTGGTGTGCAAGGACCTGCTGTGGATCGGGACGAGCGCCGGCGTGGTGCTCACCCTCTCCGTGTCCCCCAAGGCCGCCCCCACGCTCGTGGGGCTCTCCCAGGGCCACACAGGCCACGTCCGCTTCCTCACAGCCATCGAGCTGCCCGACGGCTTCGACGTCCTCTTCCCGCTGCCCCGGGACACGGGTAAGTGGCCTGGTGACACATTTCCCGGGGCTGTTCCACTGGTGGATAACCAAGAGGAGCCTTGCAATGTTGTTGTCGAAGTCCCCGTTCCGTCACTGCCTTGTTAAAAATCCAGGGGGAAAAGCTGGGAGTGGGAGTTGGGTGCTAAACTTCCCCCCGCCAGCACAAGTGACCTCAAGTTTCCCAGGGAGACCTAAATTCCTTTGAGGAGAAGCCACGGGAAAGCTGTGTCACCCAGCCCAGCTCTGAAGCTGGGATGGGATGGGGAGAAGGAGATGGGATGTCAGAGAGTGATTTTGAAGGGAGAGGCAAACATGGGCTGGGGGGAGGGGGTGGGAGGGGCTATTGCACGTGTGAGGAGTTTTTTGGGGGCCGAGATGTGGTGCCTGGGAAAGTGCTGGTGGGAAGATGCTGCTGGCATGCTGGAGGGAGGAAGCTGGAATCATGGAGTAGTAGAATGGTTTGGGTTGGAAGGGGACCTTGAAGGTCATCTAGTTGTTGGAGGGATGATGCTGCTGGGATGATGCTGGGATGATGACTCTGGGAGGATGTTGGTGGGATGATGCTGGGATGATGACTCTGGGATGATGTTGGTGGGATGATACTGGGATGATGACTCTGGGAGGATGTTGGTGGGATGATGACTCTGGGAGGATGTTGCTGGGATGATATTGGTGGGGTGATGTTGGGATGATAACTCTGGGACGATGTTGCTGGATGATGACTCTGGGATGATGTTGGTGGGATGATTCTGGGATGATGCTGGTGGAATGACAGTGGCATGACACTGGTGAGATGCTGCTTGGACGCTGTTGCTGGGAGGATGTTGGGATGCTGTTGCTGGGATGCTCCTGGGATGAAGCTGCCAGGATGCTGCTGGGATGCTGCTGCCAGGATGATGTTGGGATGATGTTGGGATGCAGCTGTTGGGATGCTGCTGGGATGCTGATGGGATGATGTTGGAATGCTGCTGGGATGCAGCTGCTGGGATGCAGCTGCCAAGATGATGTTGGGATGCTGCTGGGATGATTTTGGGATGCAGCTGGGATGCAGCTGCCGGGATGCTGCT